ACCTTAATTATTCTATGATTCTATGATTACAGCTGCTCGTCTGAAGACTAAGTTTTATATCTCTTAAATATATATTTCTAATAAATAGAAAGCAGAATCTCCACTGCTCATATAGGACATAACAAACTTCATAGAATAAACTACAAAATGTAACCCTATGTCACAATACAGTTTTATTAATTTTTTCTTAGAGTTTGCCTCCTCTTTCTAAGAGCAAAGTGACAGCAATATTCCCTTTACGTTCCATCTCTTCACCTGATCTGAATGCCTGTGCTTTCATGCTGCTGTTTAGTTTCCCCCCATTGCAGAACAGGAGCTATCTGAGAATGCAGATCTGTAAGTATCAGAAAGGCATCTTACAATAACATGTTCTGAGACAGAGTTCACAGCTCTTTCTGAGCAGTCTTTTCAACAAAAGGCTATATTACATTTCAGAACATGTATCATTTTAACTGTAGTTCACAAGTTCAAGTCCCACTGCAATTTCTTTTTCCCAAATCATCTAATGCTGAGGTAGGTAGACAGTCCAGTCCATCACAGGGCAATGGTGGACTTCAGTTTGTCTATGTGATTTCTTACAATCACAAAATCATCTTGGTATCGTGTTATAGAATAAAAGTTTTAAGAGCATGTTATTAAAAATCAGCGTTTCTGTAAAACACCATTTTGCAAACTGCAAATAACACAAGGAGGTCAGAGAGTGTTGTAGCTCAATACAAAAAAATAAGAACTGTTCCAGAAAGCTCTAGCCAAATAGCACTCAGAAGGAACAAATGTTCAAAAGATACAGAGATATCAGCTTTTAAACCAAATTTCAGACAAGATGGTTGGATTTATTCTGTTATCTAATGACATATAAAAGTTTCATATGAGCTGAAGTGATGCCAATTCTAGTAGTATTCACTAGCTTATTCAGCATGTACTGTAAGTAGTCTCATTATGGGCTTTTCCCTTGTGGGATTTATGAATTTTTCAGATTGTATAATAAATACTCGTAAGCATTTTGAAAGCAGCAACATACATTCAATTTAATAAAGCATTAAAATGAAAGAATAAAACTTGTGACCTGAGATTTCAATCCGATTCAGCCTAACGAACCAAGAAGGTTTATAGGTCTTTGCTCCTTAACACAGTGACTCATTTTTTAAATTGTTCACCATTAAGAACTGTCCTGCCCTGAACCCCTTCTTGGGAATACTTAGAAATATTTGTCTTTCTAGAGTAAAGATATTCTTGAAAGCTTTAGCATTGTGTTCTCTAGTTACACTTACCTATCAAAATTAAAACAAAAAGCTTATTAAGTTACTGAATAAATAACATTTACAATACCTGTGTTTGTAGAGGTAAAATGCAAACCCTGATAATATTAGAGCAAAGAATGGTACCAGGATGGCAGCTGCAACAGAACTGCTGTTTGTACCGTAATAGTGATTTGAAAGGTCTGTGTCTGCACTTAAAGGACCTGAAATGAAACAAAAAGGGCAGAAATAAAATTCCCAGGTTTTCTATCTGACAGTTCTCTTTTTATTCAAGAATGAAAGAAAATGGTGTCTTGATAAAATAATTCTATTTAAAAACATGAAATAAATAGCATGGAATATCATAATACAAATCTTGTTAATACCACTTAATAATACCAATCAATAACTATCAAAATCATTTGAAAACAGTATTCAGCAAGTAAAATAACTGTGAACTACACCTCTCATGAGTCACTACTTTAATAAAATTAAGCCATTTACATTCTACAAAAAAAATTGTTAATGCTGCTAAAAGTATTCTATGCTTGCAGCCTGGATATTCAGCAGAGAAACAAGAAGAAATGCAAGACCACATCAGACATGGAAAAGGAAGGGAACTGAAGTAACAGCAATAAACCACAATGGTTCTGCTCGGCTCAATAGCACTCCTAAGTCTGTGCACTTGTGTGCATGTCCTGGGTGCTTTACAACCCCCTTCTTAGGGGTGAGACATGAGCATTTTTCAGAGCCTGTGGCAGCTGCGTTTGCACTGGGATAAAACTGAGGTGCAGAGAATGCAAAGGTGGTCGCCTGTGGCATGGCCTCAGTGGGTTCCTGTTGTCGACAAGCAGATAACCAGGACTGTAAGGCATTTTGTGGAACCCATTTTTCCATCAGTATAAAAAGAGACGTTGTTAAATTGATTAAATAGGTGGCCAACTTGACAATTCAAATTGTGGAGGATGAAAAATAACTTTATAGTGAAAAATACAGAAAATTTTTATGGAAAAACCCCATATATTTTGAGAGCCAACTCCATGTTGCCAGTTTGAACTCACAGCTCTTCAGAAAGAAATATATAGATCCTATCCAAGGAGGAGAGACCAGGACAGAGGGAAAGTACAGTGAGGATGGGGCTGGGACAGATATCTGGGCTTGCTATTCTGGGATATTTTTGCTGATGCTAGTAGAGAAGAATAGGACACACTAGTGTTTACTACTCAGAAATGCTCCAACCCACCAGTACGCACTGTCTCAAACACCACGACTCCCTCATTGATGGCAACAGCAACAGTCAGTCTTTTTAGGACTCTGGAACAGACCAGTTATATAGCAGTCACAGCCATTGCACTGCTTTCAGCAATCTACTAAAATATCTAAATAAGTTCCAAAACTGAGAAAGAAGCAAACAATTCTCCTATGATTTCTTGCAGTTCAAGCTCAATGCAAAGGGCAATGAGGTAAGTTTTTGTTCTGTTAGATATTTTTAAAGCTTAGATGTTTCAATTGCTAATATTATGATACATTTTGTGCACTTCATTTTACAAAATGTATTAAATCCTAGGAAGTAATTATATTCCCTTTAAAATATAGACAGCCCCCTACGAATTTCAGAATTGCCAGATTTGATCACTAAACATGACAAAATACTGTACTTCAGTGTTTTTCACCGCCTTAATCTTCTGTCACATTTCAGACTTCTGTATATTTCTCTGCAGAACTGGTGACGGCAAACCTTTTCAAATTAATAAACCTACTACTGTGGTAGTTGGGATCATAAGCTTTATCACACTACTGTGGAGTATCTTAATTAACGTTGAACTGGTTTAAAGTAGAACCAGTGTATTATAAAAAACTTTGGACTTTAGTAATCCAATATTTGCCCCAACACTCAAGGTGTGGAATGCCTGTTGGCATAATTTTATGTATTTGTATTGTATTGCACATGTACTGGACATTCTCTAACCAATCTAGATTAAAGACAGACAGAATCAAGTAGTAAACACAGTTAAGAAAAGAAATGTTAATTTAAATGCTCCGTTGAATTTTTATTGGTTAGAAGAAGTGATAGAAGTTTAAAAAACTGCATGCAGTTATCACTGTCTTCATCTTTTAGTATCACAATCCCCAGCTGTTTTTCCAATTATTTGGAGTAATTAATAAAAAATATGGTAATGATCAAATTCATTGTAGTTAGCTTATATCAGCAAAAACCTGGAATTAATATTCTAACTCTTATTTAAAATTTTAACCAACTACCGAAACAAACAGAAATATGTATGATCAACGAGCTCTTAATTTATATCTCAAAGCTATTATCATGATAGATACATTTTAATGTGTAAGTAGCAAAAAATCATAAAATATCTAATCAGAATTCAGCTGAAAGAACACAGTAGTTTGAAATTCATAATAAGCAATTCTTGGCATGAAAATCTGGCATGGAATTTTTTAAAGTTAATTTAAATCTTATATACACTTTTTTGTGTAACTGAACATTTAAAACTAGGCACAAACTTACATTTAGATAAGTTCTTTTAAAGTTATCTCTGATAACTGACACATATTTAATACTTAGTACTCAAAACTCCTATTGGAGGTCATTGAATATTCTATACCTGTCTGGCATCAGTAGAGCATGGCTCAGTTTTACTAAGACAACTGCTGAAGTGGGAGAAAGTGTGACAGCAAAAGCCATGCAAGATAAGAAAAGTAGAATTACAGGTAGAAGAGTAATTTCTGAGACAAGGCTGGTTAGCAGCTCAAGGATTTAAGAGAAAAAATACCAACACACAAAGCAAGTCAGCAGCTTCCAAGGAGCAACAGAGGCTGGACCTTCTTCACCTGACTGAAAACTGCTGGATAGAAAAGACTCTTTGGGTACCTTCCTGGGTATGAGGAGTGTATTAATATATAGTCTCATATCTCATTAGTCCTAGGTATCTATTTGTGCATTAGCACAACCGTTTTGTACTCTGAAGCTGTGAGTATCCTGTTTAGATGTAGAGTTTCTTCACGAATTATGAAAGTTGTGTGAAATGATCTGGAGAGGAAAGATGACACCTTTATAGAGTGAAATTTAAAATTCACGTCTCGTGATGTTCAATGCTTTTAAGAGTTGATCAATTTCAAGAAATGAACATGTATTTCACAGCTATTGATCTAATATATCACAGATGCAAATTAATTATTCATATTTCATATTTCTTGTCAAGATTTCTCATCTCAATCTAGAGAAGCTAAAAAAGTACTTTGAAGGAAAAAAAGGAAAGAGAAGTAGGTCATTGTATTTCCCCAGAGGAAATAAACATAGGAAAATAATAGTTTGGTGAAGTAAGTTTCTCTTCTCACAAAGCCACCTTTTCATACAATTTTAAAGGACAGTCCAGACTGGAATGAACAAGGCCAAGATTTTAGAATAAGCATCTTCTAGAACTGTAGTGGTGAGGCACAGGCACTCAGCAATTACAGAAACTGAACCTAGCCGCAAACTTGCAGCCTTTAGAGACCAACTTGTTAAAACATAACAAAACAAACAAAAAGCCCCCAGCAATGACTGATTACTTGGCAAAATAGGTTAAATAATTTGGTGTCGCAACTTAGGCCCCTTAAGCAAGCTCAGATACAGCTCTAATTCTTTTGGCAGACCAATAACAGAGATCTCTTTGCCCTTTGGGTTATTCTCTAAGGCAACAAGCAAACAGATTTGCTTCTGAAAGAGGATAAACAGTACTTAGAAACAGAAGTTCTTTCTGTTTTCATGTCACTAAGTTCCAAGACTAGGCATATCCACTGAGCCTGGTCTTTCTCTAGTATTGTGTGACAGGGAATTCTTCATCAAATAGATTGGTCTTTCACACTTAACCAAGTATTTCTCAGTAAATACTGTTCTTTGAAGTATGCTTGCAGGTGAAGAATTTCATATTACATTCTGTATGCACCAGTGCATGCATAGTTTATGCATACTTCTGGCTTAGTGTAAAGGCAGCAAATAATTTAACTTCCTGAAGAAACAGAAATATGTTAAGTCTTCAGCTGGAGGACATATGAGATCATTACCTCAGCAGAATATTCATGAACAGAATAGATTTAAAAAACAAAGCAAGTTATTCTTGAATATGAGAGGGTATGGACAAATATTATGACCTGAGTTGGCTGGAAATTTGCTGTTTCCTTTTAGCTGTAGGTTCTTCAATAGAGAACAAGCAACCTATAGAAAATCAGTGCCTATTTAGCAATCACACAAAGAAATCTTCTAAAAGAGACAGTATCTGCGTTTGTAGCAAGCTCTCTGCTGAGATGTCAAAGCTGAAGACGAGAGGCCCTCAGCCTAGGAATGCATGTGTAACTTGGACACTTTGGCTCCTTACTAGCCTTGGCAATATATAAACTGAGCTCTCATATTGCAACTCTAAACAGTGATATGGACGATGTTTTCCACTACTGTAGAATACATCCACTGGAGAATGCTGTAACTGTTGAATTGTCATTCTGCTTGTTCTTCATTTATTCCCATGAGTTATTAATTTGACTGCTAAAACACATGGATCCAAACTTGTATTAGGTATCTGGCAAATCATGGATATCTTTTTTGGCCTGGCTTAAGAAAAAAAACCACAAATACACACACACACCCCAAACAAAAGCAACAAACCATACTCTCACTGTTTTGAGATATCAAAGGCTTCTAAATAAGACAAGTATTTGAACAAATTTTGATGCTCTACTTTTGTAGTGTGCTTGTTAAAATCAGAAAAAAAAAGCAGTGTAGATATTACAGTGGTAAGGATTACAAAAAAGTACAGGCAGACAAATAATCTGTCTCACACAAGAGTTTACTCTCAAGACTGAAATTGTATTCATCTTCTGTAATTGGCAGTTCTTAGGCTGAGACTCTGAAGAGTAAGGTTTTCGCCCCTTGTGATTAAATATATATAGCAATTTGAGAGGTGGCCAAGATGAGCAAATCCATAGGATAACTGCTATTACAGCAGTTAATAGAGCAAAGAAATACAAGAAAGATTTGGCAGAACTTTAAAGGGCATTGGGTGCAGCACCAAGCTAATGGAACCAAAGCAATTTATAAAACATAGATACAGTCTGCTGTAGATACATTGGCTAGGCTGTCTCCTCCTCCCAGCCCAGTACTTTGCTGTATATATACCGTGCTTCGACCACTCTGCAGTAGTTCCAGGATCAGGAAATGCAGATGTCTACACCTGGTATTTGCCAAAACTATTTTATGACTAAATATTTCATGAGCAAATGTTTTATTAGGTTTTGTGACAAAGTTATTTTATGAGTAAAATAACTAGTTTTTCACCAGCTGCTGGAGCACTTGAATCCACAGCTGTAATATATACCTCAGTCACTCATTTAATATTTCTGACAGCAAAGTAGAATTCTATCTAAATACATATACATTCAGAAAACATTCACTAGCAACAAGCATTTTCCAAATGATACTCTTAAAATCAGTGTTGATTCTATCCTTTTAATTTCCTATGTGATTCTGACTGCAATTTATACATTTGAGCAGCAAATATCTTTGCATTGCATGACACCCCTGTTACTCTCAAAAAGACATTCATAGAAAAGCAAGCAGTTGCAATGGCGTTCTCTTTAAGAGCATCCTGTAGCCATCTTATTAGGTTGCTATACTAAAAAACATGAGATAATAACATGTTAAGCAGAGTTAAATTGGGATTTGAACTGTATATTTCAAATATGCATATTTCACTATATTTTTCGTAATAGCAATGGCATGAAATAAACATGCTTATTTCTGCTAGATAGCAGAGTCATTTGTTGAATTCACTCTTGCAAGACCCAAAAAGATTATACAAGTTAAAGTTCTATGAATGAATTTACCTTGTCTTTGGAGCATAAATTTTCCAAAGTCTTTTCCATGTATATCACCTTGATAGGTAAAAACACCTCTTTCAAGCCCTGATGATACCTAGAATATGTTGAAACAGAAAAAAGGTTTCTGAAACAAATAGATAAGAATGTTTAGCCATTTGTTTTTCTGACTTAGAGTAGATACATGGAGCCCAGATTTTCACTTTTATCCTGTAAAATATTAGTGAACTCTCCATGCTTATACAATATTTATCCTTTTAAGTTTGCAACAGCATTAAACAAAGTTTCAAAATAACACCTGGAGTGACTTTAAAATATCTGATGTATATTGCTGGGTTTTAAAGTTCTTCAACTGGCGTACACGTAATTGAATTAGTATACGGATATAGAAGTCCACTGAATTGTCAGATTTTAAATTGTTTTCCATAGAAAGCATCATGAGGCACAAAGGAGAACTGAAAAGAGTAAAATAACTCTCTTTTTCTTCAAGATTAAATGTAATTTTATTACAGTGAACTATTTACCAAACCAAAAAAAAGGACAGTATTTCTAAAGGTAAAATTCCCACTCTTGTCTAAGAAAACAAGGAGAAAACATGGCAAAAGATGCTGATTCACTCCACCTTCCCCTTAGTAAACTAAAAATTCTAATGTGAGTGTGGCAGATAGCAGTTTATGTACATATTTTTGAAAGAAAAATGTGATCTCTACACTGACATCTAGAGTGCTGTATTCCGTATTTGTAATATAAAAAGTTGGATAGAGTCATATAGGAAATCACAAATTACTTCAAACTTTAAACTCAGCAAGCTTTATCCAGAGCAGTCTGGTTACTTACATAACCATCTAACGCCCAGTTGTCGTTTTCAAACTTGCTTACAAAAATGTCACTAGGTCCTTTAATCTGAAAAACTTTCAAGAGCAAATGGGCTTCTTCTTTCTTGTAAACACCTATTAACATAAAGGACGTAACACATGCCTTTTATACAATTTTTCAACCAGTTTGTTCAAATATCCTTTCAAAGCTAAGTATATTGCTTTAGAACTAAAATATTTTGTAGAAAATATTCTGTAGTAACAGAATTTTATAACTTGGAAAAAACAAGATTTAAAGTGCTGTAATAATAGGATCTTATTTTACTGATCTTTTGCCCACATCATATTTGATAACAGGATACAAAAATGGGTTTGTACTGTTCAATTTTATACATAAATGGGCAAGAATATTTGTCTTTTCATACAGTATTTCAATAATTCTGAATACAGATAGAATTCCTTGCCTGGAATTTCCTTGAACTGGAAAAAATTGGATTTTACTTACATCACAACATTATGTTGCTATAGTAAATATCGAAAGTGCAGTGAAAGAAAATTTGCTATTTGGCAGCCAACTACTGAAATTCTCTCTGAACTCGTGACCTTAAAAGGCACTGATAGCTGATAATGCTTTTTTTCAAATATAACCGTGATGAGAGGCTAAATCAGAACTTCACAGTCAGATTTGCAGAAAGGAATGCATGATGTTGATTAAAAGGTATGCATAATTTACTAAGATATTTAATTATCTGTACTTGTTTTATGTTATGCCATTATAAAGACCATATTGTTTTAAAGCAGATATTAATCACTGTTGAATAATGGAGCTTTTCAATGGTACAGTTCTTAAAATGCCTATATACACTTTGTCTGCCACTTCAATATTATCTGTGAGTTCAACACATCAATACTATCCAGCAGTCCAAGATGAAAAAACCCTACTTCGATATTTATTTTAAATGTAACCGGAAAAATAGATGGGTGACCACATATAAACTGACTGAAATCTGTGCAGACCATTACATTAGGACCCTTTCTTTTGCAAAATAAGCAGAAAAAGATTTTTAGTAAAAACTTAAAGTTTTTCTTTTGTTTTGTGTTTGTCAGAAAATACAACAAAACAGAACAGATGAAAAAAATTAAAAGAACAGCTTTTTTAACACCAAATTCTGAACCTACCTGATAGTTTGAGTTGTATGTTGGCTGCCTCAATGAATGTGGCATTCACTTTGCTGCTTGTAGTATTGAACCAGTCAACAGTCAGAGTAGCAGGCTGCCTTTTTCCTGAATATTCATAAAACCCTTTCCACAGTGAATTTATAAAAAACACATCTGAGGGAACTAAACAGAAGTGGGCAAAAAAGAAACAAAGAAAGGAGTAAGCAAAGTAGCAATCTTTCTGGCCATACTTACGTTCTTCATTTTTTCCGTTACAGCATCAATCCACTGTTCTAAGGAGGTATTATAGTAAAAATTTTACAACAGTAAAGACAATATATCTAATGACCTTTCCACACAACAGCCTATAACATACTATACCTGTCCATTACAATATATGTTCTTAAATAACCTCACACTTCATAATGCTTCACACTATGCTTCAGTGATGTCCCCAAGACTATGAAAAATAATGGACTCTTCCCCTAAAGCCCAGTAGCTTTAAGGTATGATGAAAAAAAGGAGAATAATATTCTGAAGTCAAGAACTCCTGGAAGGAGACACTGTCTTAGGCTATACTTTTTGTTTCATGAAAGCAGCACTGTGTGTGATTTTCAACTGAATATCAACTGAATATTCAACTGAATCCATTGAATTCCAGATACAGTTTAGCACAAGTTTTTTATCCATCATTTTTAGACTCCACATCTTTTCTCCATACAATATTACTGCACCTGTGAACAGTGAAGTTACCAGAGCAGGGAACATTTTTGGTTTAAAATAAAGGTCTGTTTCTCAGAAACTGCAGTTTGAATAACCTGAAGTAAAAAACCTATAAAATGAAGCATGAATTATAGGAAGAAGTATATGCATTTGGGTCATTTATTTGATGTTATTAGTATTTTTCCTCTATATAGAAAAAATAAATTATTTGCAGGTCATTAAATGTTGTATCTTAAATATTTGGCTAAATTGCTGACAGAGTAGAAAAAGTCTCTCTTATTCAACAGTATCTGCAATATTAACATCAATTAAAAAAGAAACACAGAAGAGAAAAAAAATTCTTAGGAGAAGATTTTATGTCAGAAACATTTACAGGGTGCTACATGTCTTGAACATTCATTTCCCCCCTACACATTGCTATATTTCTCCCATATACTTTGCTGTTATATATATTTCTTCCATATACTTTGCTGTTATAAAATCTGGGGAAGACTTCCTTCAAATATGATGGATAAGTTAAACAAACTGTTAAGTTGGCCAAAAGGGACCAACCCTCCTACTGGCCAGGCAGCATTCAGTGTTTCTTGGCAACTTCGACAAGTGAAAACACACATTTTTCCACTTAGTTCTAAGCTTTTTCTAGCATTACAATTTGAGAAGTAAAGCTTTAAGAATCAAAATAAAACTTCATAAAAAGAACTGTTTATCCAATCACATGATATCTTGACAAAATGACAGCCCTAGCAACTATTAAAATTCACCCTTACTATCCATGACCACTACAAATGATACATGCTAAATAGCTAAAGACTGATATTAGGAGTGTTTCATACTCTTTTAACTAAACTCTTAAAACAAATTGTTGGATTTTTTGCATTTTATCAAACTCTGAGCACGTATAAAGGCACCTGTCTATACCGAAGGAAATTTATCAGCATAGGTATCCTATGTATCCATTTTGAATAAATTCTATAGATATTTCCTCTCCACATAATGACTGATTGCAAAAATGAATCAAAAAGAAACCCAGGTCAATAATACCATATATTTCTAACAAAACACACTGACAGGCAGTACATCTGAAAATCTGATGACTGATTAGCTGTTGACTGTCTCCTAATCATATTATTACACTTCCTAGTATGCATTTCATAAAGAGGAAGGATAATAACTTCTTCAGTACCTTTTGCCTTCAAATTGGGCAAAAGCCACAAGCAAATGTCCAAGCTTAATGTGGCATGATTTGAAAAGATCATTAGTATGTTGTCTGTACCACCACTGGATTCCAAGTGAGTGGAGAGACACTATATGTCTTTGATTACAACAGCTTCAAAGAATCTTAAGTGCTCCCTTTCCAAAGCAAAACTCAGTGCAGGACTGGGGCTTCAGACAAGGTAACCTCAACTTAATACTAAAAATCTGAAGCATTAAATTTCAATTTGTATCTCACAGCCCTTAGAATTCATATATTTTGTGTAAATATATGAATTCTGTAAAGTCTTTCAGACTCTTTTTCCTACATATTTCTCATTGCTTTGCTACAATATTGACAGTACATTTGAAATACGTAAATTTGAAACCTGCATTTTAAAAATACGTTAGAATTATTTTTATTTGTCTTTGCTTTTAATTAAAATTGTGTGTCTGAAGTTATTCTCATGAAGGTGAACATCTAGGATTACTGGTATGAACCTCACAGGTACTATGTAAGACTTTTATAAAGGAGCGGAGAGCATTCTTCTTTTGTCACATTCAACATCTTCAGTATCTAGTTTCTCTAACCACTCTGTCAATAATAGCTGTTAATCTTTGCGAAATAGTACCATTGACTCAGTATTTGTGGAATTTGCACTTGCTGCAGATGGGCAGAATCAGTAGGGGAAGAAAATAGCAAAATATTTTTCTGCTTCCCCAGTCATGTTTTTGTAAAAGTTTAAAATGCAAGTGCTGCTGTCCCATGGATGCTGCTGAGGAATTGGAGTGGCTCTGACCCAATTCTGTGAACCCTTGCAACGTCCCTGCCTTTCCCATCCACTGTGGGCAAATGCAGAATGAGAAAAATGAACCGGGTATTATTATACTAATACTGCACCAGCTGTGGATTCTCCTCAGAATGTGACAAACAGGGAAATCTATGGCTACTCATTAAAACAGCTTCTGAACTATTTTTGCAAAAACTATACAAAGCCATGAGGACCATGGGAACCAAACAGTATTGTGGTTCTTAAACTTCACATGGGTATTGTGAGAATTCTTCAGCTGAAACTTATACTCAATGTATATGAATACAGTACTGTAAAAATGATAGTTACTATTGCTTATGAAAACATTAACTCTGGCAAAAAATAGCAATTTAATAAACAATAATAAACATAATTTGTATTCAGATATTCAAAGGCGGGAAATCAGAATATGAATCTATTCTGTTACAAAAACTTTTGTTTAGCAATATTAGCTTCTTCCCATTTAAAATACAGCAAATGGAATTCTACCAAAAGCCAAGATAACACGGTAAAGAAAATGCTCCAAAATACATCGTGTTCTATACTAAGAATTCACAATTTTAACAGACATAATAATAGTGCAGACTTGGATTTTAAAAACAGCTTAAAACTTTTCCTAGTTAATTACTGTCATTTGTTACACAGTTTCAGTTCTCCGCTTGCCATTGTTGGCATTTTCAATCATAACATTTCATTTTTTTTTTTAAAATGGCTTTCAAATAGTGCTTAGTTACCAAAACTAGTTATAAGGGACATGATGTGGTGTGCATTGGTACTGATGCTCTGCATAGTGAATACATTAGGAGACTTGGTCTACATTTTAATTTGGCATTGAAAAACTTCAAAACCTGTGTGGTAGCAGATTAATGTATACCTTAGGTGTTCGGAGAGGTGAATCCTCCAATAAATGAAGACTGTATATTCATTATAATGAATGCACATTATATCCTGCTTTATTGTGAGTCTGTAGAAGTAATGCATTTGAGAGGAACTCATTTATGGTTTCACCTGACACTCTCACTAACAAACTCACCAGGAAGGTTAATTGTTAGCAGAAATACCTTTTTATCCCATCTACACTACAGAGTCCTTCTGTGAACTGCCATGAGTGTGAACCATTAATCTTATTTTCCCTGAAGCTTGCTAAAATTTAGAATATAGAGTTGCAAGCTCATTTATTTGGGGAAAACTCTGCTCATTGTTAAATAAGTCAGTAAAAAAAAATTAGGCCTTTCATTCTCTGAAAATGATTGAACCTAAAAAGATCTACATCAAGGATTTCTCAGATGTATTTGTCTATTTTTTCACTGGCAGGAGGGAAAGGTTAACTGCACATGTGTTCATGAGGAGGCATAGAAAAGCAGCAGTAATGTTTGCCTGCTGCTGGTGGTCCACACAGTTTGGGAAACCCTATCTTAGAGTACCTTGAGAGTTTTTATGAAATGAAGGCCATCAAAATTTCCAAAACTGTTTTTTGATTTTTTGGGGGGGTTTCTTGCAACATTTGCAATGTAAAGGGCAGAACTTTGACTGAACCCAATCCCTGCAATTATATTCTACACTCATTATAAGGCTCTCCATTATAGCAATCTCTCTGATATAAAATTACTTCAAATCTGGGTTTTGTGTATATATGCTTTTTGGCTTCACGGGGGTTTTTGTGCAATTCACAAAATTGGTACTGTAGAAATTAAAAAAATGTTGTTTGGGAAAGTATTTCATAGAATAGGTTTTACATGGCACATGTTATTATGAAAGACCTCAACATTTATATTCCTTTGAAATGAGTAATAAATACTTAAGTCAAATATTGGAAATAGTTTTATTATCCATAACAATCTAGGGTGTAAATCAATTTAATTTATTTAGATCTAAAACTCTTCTTGTATACAAACCTGGAGTTTTAGTTATTGTTTCATTAACTTCTCTCACTCCTTTACCTACAAGTAAAAAGACAAATTATCATTTTCATGAACATTTTTTTTTTTTTAAATAGAATGTTAAAACAATGCCTGATGGATGCAATCATCTCTTATCTAATATCGCCATATTTAAAACAGAAATAACTGGTCTCGAATACCTTACATGTTCAAACCAATACACTTACACAAAACTAAAAGAAAATAGTTTAGGTAAACAATGTTTTTACTGTGGAAAGTTGTCTGGCTAGCCAAGTATTTCATACAGTTAGGCCTAAAATTTTTATATCAGTCCCAGTGCTATAAAAGAGAGCCTTATAGAGGGGACAAATACTATATCTAATTATGAATAATATTATACTAAATATAGTAAAAATTGTGTTAATAAAGATTGATACATTTATGACACAAACCAGCAAAAGCCAGATAGCTGGATTAAGATGACAGGATCAGATATCATGGGAAAAGATCACAACCGGTGTAATTTGCTATATTTCTGGTACACTCAGCAGAGTTATGTCCATTGACCCCAGATCACATTCTGGCCTCATATCATTAGCCACTTTAAAAAAGCTAATGTCCTGTAGGAAGATTTGGTCTTACATGTTTTTTTTTCTTTAGGAGCAGAAATTCACTGATTAGAATGATTAAGTGTTAAGAAAGCACAAAAAGTGTGGAGCACTCAAGGAGAATTATACCTAAAGACTGTAAGCCAATAAAAAAAAGAATTCTTGCTTATAGAAACCTTTTCTGTATTTTATCTTTAATTAAAAACAAAAAAAAAGAAAATTAACAAAAAACATATAAGATAATTTATCTCAAATTATTACTTATATAGTACCCATGAAGAATCACCCTTTGGGGAACTAGAATAAGGAGATAAATTTTTACGTATAGATCATATGTCTCGACAATATTGAAACAAAGAATTCTACCCATATACTAATGAAAAATCAAATATTGTTCAAACATCAAATCTATTTAGCGTTCTTTGATATATTAGAATTAAAAATCATGTTGCAAACATCTTCCCATGGCATCTGACTATTTTTCCTTTATTCATATTCTAAATATAGTTTTGTTTTGTTTTTCTGGATCGGGGACTTATAGCCAAGTTTATTTGCATGTGAAGAGCAAATTTAGCCCTCATAACTATATACTTAGAGCTACTCTAGCAAAACTACATGAAATTTATATGGATATAAATAAAAGTGCAATCTGGTGCAAAGATGTATTTATTTTTTTTTTTTATTGTTCATTTTTATTTTAGAAGATTTTCTTAGACAAAAAGCAAACCTGAATGAATCTAAAAGCCAAGCTATGAAATAACTTTTTTTGTTCCTAATAGAAAATCATACATTAAACACTGAATACATTGAAATACTCTTTAGAACTCTGACATAAAGATAAATACAGTGAAAAGTAATACTTTATATTGTTTAGGTTTTGTTTGCTGTTGTTAGGGGTAAACCTATATATGTGTGCCTGTGCATTTACATACACATACCCTCATGTTTCCCTCTATGAGTTCTAGATGCTATGCTCACTTTGATTTTTTTACTGTTTCTTTCTTGAAGTAAAAGCTGTTGTGTCATACACATTTTTAAATAGTAAGTGGAAAAAATTAATTCTACTATATAAAATAAAAATGTCAGGGAAAATGAAATCCAACCAAGTAGGGTCCGACATATCACTTGAGTAATTACTTACTTTTACAAATAGGTGATTTTCCTGTCCATTTCATATCTGGTTTACATGTCCGATGCTCTGATCCACCAGCAAGAAAAAATCCTGGCTGACAGGTATACACCAAAGTATACCCTAAAGTAGGAAGATCTATTGCTTTCACATCTACATGTGCCGGTGTCTCTGGCTGCCTGCAAGCATGAGCTGTAAAGGGTTTTTTAGAGTTAGAAAAAGTGGTGGTAAACAGTTTCCATAGGATTAGAGTATGTAATTTGAAATAAATGCATGCCAACTTACTCCTTTTCATTATGTAAACTTTGTACACCTTTTAGAAATGTCAAGTAGCTATTACTTGTAAAAGTAACACTCTGAGTGTATAGTTATATTATTATGGGAAGATGGAAATGATACTATCACATCTTTTTAAACAATACACCAAAATTAAATCATCACAGCAAACAGAAGAAAGTTAAAATGAAGGGAAGCACATGCCATTGTATATGGTGCAATGATTGGTCCTGTGAATGATTGTACTGTCACAGCTTCAAGCTTTGCTTCCACTCAATGTTTTAAAAAGCCTTGAAAATTACAGAGCGGTTATTATGCTAAATAAATTCATTATAAATTCCAATTGAAATAAAGGTTCCATAGGAAGTCTTTGTCATAGTACATTGATTATAACAGATATGGTTGCTCAGTATGCTTCTTTCTCTGTGCTCCATGGTGCTCATTTCTAATAATCAAAAGATAATTTGAAATAGGATAAGAATCTAAGATCATTCTAATGAATTATTTTTACCTTAGATCAGTGTATTTTAACACAATAGTTATTTGATGTCCTCCAACTCATACAGAGCTATAAATACACTAATCATTTGCATACCCATGCATAGCCCAGAAAAGATGAATTTTGCTGAGTTCTAGTTTATGATTCACAAAATACTAGCCAACAAAATAGCCCCATGCATACTTCAGGCCACTTTCTGTTCTCTATTAATCCAACACACACAAAAAGCCTAGATTAATTTAAAGCAGCTAATGCAGTGGGTTAATGAGGACAGACTTTTTTGCGTAAAACTGATAGAATTATTTTGAACTTCATGAAAAAAAACCTGAAAAATCTTACTTCAAATTAATATCCCAAATACATCTTTGGTCTTAGAATAGGAAACAAAAACATTTAAAAGTACTGTTTTAAATAAAGGGGGTTTTTGTAGCATATCATTTACTATGAATTTCCACAGGCTTCACTTTGTAACTCTTTTAAAATTGCACAATATTCTAACTCATAGATGAGAAACCAGACTTACGAATGCATTCAGACTGTATGCCACTCCAAGTTAAGTTAGCAAGACAAGAACGGGTGGTAGATCCCTGAATATGATAACCTTTTCTGCATCTGAAAAAGACTGTGCTCCCAACCTAAGGATCAAAACAGAATGTTAGATAAAAGATTTATCCATCACGTGTAGTCAGATATCAAGACAGTGATAAGCTACTAGAGACATTTTTTCAAAAATAAAAATGTCCTCTTTTTACAGTTTCTAGAGTTAAACTTCTTTTTTAGTGAGATGAAAAGTTTGAGCAATTGATCTTTTGTAACTTTATTTGAAAGCAATATTGACAAGGCTGTGCACATGGAAAAGAACGACACTCATACATTTCAGGTTATTAGTTTTTCAGTGTGACAGAAGCAAACTAAATGACTGAGATGTCTCTCTTTCCTGTACATCACTGCATATATTTCAATAGAACTTGACCATAAAGTCTGTTTCAAAGGTTTCTCATTGTGTGACTTGACTAAAAATGTTTTTTAAGAGGAAAAAGGAAAAACAAAAAAACTATGAAGAATTGTTCCATCTACAAATATATTCACTAGAGAAAACTCCAGGCCACAATTCCTTACACTGCATTTGTTACTATAAGCTACCTAAGTTTTACTTGAGATGTTCAACTAGCAGAGTGATGTTACGGAAAGCCTTCCTGTGGTCAACTGTGGTATGACCTTTCTTAGAAGAAAAGGTAAAGTAACTGAGAAAACTCTCTATAGAATTCTACTGAGAATAGAAAAGCATGAAAACTGGATACAAAATTGCAAGTGATGAAGAATTTTCATAACAAACGAGAGAGAGATTGAGCGGAAAGTTCTAGTAAAACTAGACTTATTGACAAAAGTAACCAGAATACAACCCCAGACCAAGATATTTAAGGATGCAGGGCTGACCAGCAAAGCATTGCTTTCATTTTGGATAGAACATCTTGGCAATAAATAGGTTCAGATGAAATGAAAAAACCCCACAAAATTAACATTATTTGAAATTATATGACTTATTAATAAAGTAACATATCACATGGACAAATGCAATAAATTGCAAATGAGTAGTGATCAATGTATATTAATAAAATAGCTTGCAGGTATTGCTATAAATGTAGATAGCTCTACACTGCAAATTTCATAGAAGGACTTCAATGGACATTAAAAATGGGCAGTTATCTTCAAAAGTGCCTACCTTTAACTATATACTCAGTTACATAAAAACAGATTATCATTATAGATATAGCAAACGCAACACCAGTTCTTCTTGAAGTGGCTTGGGAAATTCACTGGTACTTTTAAAGGTCAAATTACTGATAGGGCTTTGTAGACTTATTTATTTATAACTATTTTTAAACGTATTCATCTCTCTGTCTTGCCAAGGACACACAGCATGTCTCTAGTAGAGACCAGAACAGAGTGTAGCTGGTCTTGACTCTAAGTCATCTTGCTTCTTGTGAAATTGCCAATTCTGGTATCAGTAAGTAATGATGAGCTGCAAATATTTCCTCACTGATCCAAAAGACCAAGCAAAAAAATAATGTCTAGGTTCAAGGTAGTTACAGAGTTATATTTCTTTCTCATTTTAAGGTAAATGTAAAAATAAAAGCAGTGCACTCTTTGTATAATACTTGGATGAAAAACATTGGAGGCATTTGTAACAGTCACAGCGCAGTGAAGCACAAAAGGCACAAAATGAATGGGGCAAGACAGGATGCTGGTAGATAGGGGAAAACCCTTCAAAGGTCTGCTCCCTGTCTTCACACCTTTCTGTAATGAGGAAAGTCTGTCTGTTAAAAGCTGGTTTATAGAAGCTTGGCTAAGTCATACAAACAGGAAGCCCTACAAATCACATATGCCAAAAAAAAAATCTACTTCACTAGGAATTGGAGAGAATTCTACATCTTGTTGTACCAGATAGTGATCTGAGAGTGAAAGCACATTGTATTGGGTTTACGTGGCAAGGTTTTGGTAGCAGGGGACTACAGGGTTGGCTTCTTGTGAGAAGCTGCTAGAAGTTTCCCCTATGTCCACTAAAGCCAATGCCAGGTGGCTCTAAGACGGACCCGCCACTGGCCAAGGCTGAGCCCATCAGTGACAGTGGTAGCACCTCCATGATAACATATTTAAGAAGGGGAAAAAAACCTGCACGACAGCAGCAGCTGTCAGAAGAGAGGAGTGAGAATATGTGAGAGCAACAACTCTGCAGACACCAAGGTCAGTGAAGAAGGAGGGAGAGGAGGTGCTCCAGGCGCCAGAGCAGAGATTCCCCTGCAGCCCATGGTGAAGACCATGGTGAGGCACGCTGTCCCCTTGCAGCTCATGGAGGTTAATGGTGGAGCAGATATCCACCTGCAGCCCGTGGAGGACTCCATGCCAGAGCAGGTGGATGTGCCCAAAGAAGGCTGTGACCCCGTGGGAAGCCCATGCTGGAGCAGGCTCCTGGCAGGACCTGTGGACCTGTAAGGAGAGGAGCCCATGCTGGAGCAGGTTTGCTGGCAGGACTTGTGACCCCATGGAGGACCCACGCTGGAGCAGTCAGTTCCTGAAGGACTGCTCCCCGTGGAAGGGATCCATGCTGGAGCAGTTCCTGAAGAACTGAAGCCCATGGGAAGGAGAAGTTCATGGAGGACTGTCTCCCGTGGGAGGCACCCCACGTTGGAGCCGGGGAAGAGTGTGAGTAGTCCTCCCCCTAAGGAGAAAGGAGCATCAGAGACAACGTGTGATGAACTGACCGCAACCCCCATTCCCCGTCCCCCTGCACTGCTCGGGGTGAGGAGGTAGAGAATTCAGGAGTGAAGTTGAGCCCAGGAAGAAGGGAGGGGTGAGGAGAAGGTTTTTTAAGATTTAATTTTTATTTTCTCATTATCCTACTCTGATTTGATTGATAATAAATTAAATTAATTTTCCCCAAGTCGGGTGTGTTTTGCCCGTGATGGTAATTGCTGAGTGACCTCTCCCTGTCCTTATTTTGACCCATCAGCCTTTCATTGTATTTTCTCTCCCCTGTCCAGCTTAGGAGGCGGAGTGATAGAGCGGCTTTGGTGGGCACCTGGCATCCAGCCAGGGTCAACCCACCACACACATACTTGATAAAGACTAAATACAGAACACATGAAGAACTACTATTGCCTCTAGAGGTGAATGAGAAGAGAAAATTAACCTTGTCTGTGTTCAACAGACATTAGAACAGTGAATTGGCCATTACAATTCTGATATGAAAGACAACTTGTGAGGCAGGTAAAAGGGGGAGAGAGAAAAAACCAAACCCCTGATCAAATTAGTTGCAAAGATTAGAGTTGTTTTTGAAGTGATGATGATAGGGACAGGTACAGGGTCAAGATGAGATAACAGACAGAAAGGCAACTGCACCTATTACTAGAAGAACAACCTTAGGGGTGAGGCCACAAGATACGGCTAGGGGAGAAGTGCCTTGGCATCTGCGACCCAGGCAGGAGCAGAAGGTGAAAAAAGACCTGACAGCCACAGCAAGGACAGACAGCACAATTGCAGGAAAGGGAGGTACCAATAGCCAGAGGAACTTACAGAAAAACTGTTCTACTAATTTGATGGTAATACCATGTGGCACACTGCCCTACATTCAGAAATAAGCAGGAAACCCAAACAGAACATATTTTAGATTCCAATCACAAATATTTATACATGAAGAATCTATCCACATGAGGTTAATCAATCTATATAATGACTTGGTAAACTAATAACCTGTGAGGAATTTGGAAGTTGTAGGAAGGACATTCATCGCAGAGAACCTGGATCCAACACATAGTGTAATTTTATCTTCTTTGATTAAATAAAATATAACATGAATTGCTAATTTAGTAAAGCCACTTGCTGACTTTTTTGTGAAGGACTACACGGCCTTTGGATCAGACAGGTCTTTGGTTGTTAGGTATTTACTGACTATTCATCAATGTATGAAAGAATTATGATCATAAAGCAAACTAATTATATCATGTCATATGATATTAGGTAATCAATTTATAAATAGTCCTCCCTACTGAAGTTTCCTAAAGGATTGAACACATGATATATTGCACGGTTAGAAATTCTTTCTTTAAGCTGTATGTTAAAAAAAAAAAACCTTGGAATGAAGCATGAGTTTTTATTAAAAAGGAGTGAAATTTCCTAAGGTTTACATCAGAGATTTAAGCCTACAGATAATTTAATATATTTGTAATTATTAAATGTATCTTCGTTTTAGAAAGCTAATAAATAAAAGAAAGAATTACCTCATAACCTCTGGAACTGTTTTGTATTCCAAAATGTGGAGTACCGGGGTCTGTACATGTATTGTGAGCTGGATCTAATATAAAATATGAAACACAACAGATATCATTATGGTATGGAAAGAATACTCTGTGTGCAAAGTCATTTCATCAATGTCTAGTGATGACAAGAATTGAATTTTTAATGGAATGTGTGTATTTCTATATTACATTTGTATTTCCAATTAAATTTCCAAGATAGATCACAGTACTTTGTTTCAGTACATTGCCATTATTTAAGGGTATTTTTTGCAGGTATCTTTGGCAGTGTAGACTTCAGACTTAGGACTGCATTAATTTTTGCTAAGCTTACCCTTTTAAACCTTTTTGAATACATAGTATATCCCACTATTCACAATGCAGATGGAACATATAGGGAAATCTTTTTCTTCTCTTCTTTCCCAATGAACAGCTTAATGATTAAGTTAGATTTCTAAAAAAAAAAACCAAACCAAAACCCAAGAAAAACCAAACCCAAAAGCAACCTGCTTTCTTATAGCAAGAAAAATACTTAATTTTTTGATAGAATTTTTTCCATGTTACCAAGAAAACAAAAGTTTCAAATGGACTACTACCTCAGCTGTTCCTGGAGAATGAAAAGACAGTCCCCCCACAAAAAAAGGCATGCCAACAGAGTATAACTAATTATATGATGATCAGTTCATGAGAGTAATTTAAAGCAGCCTAAAACTACTTTTGATTCAGCAATGTCCACTTCACATTCTGATGGTGTATTTGCTTTGGGGTTGCCCAGTCACATCCACCAGGTAGACAGCACAGGACTTGATTTGATGGATCTTTCTGTGCTATGTGATTCCCTCTTGGCAACCAAGTCTGCTTTTGTGCTGACACTGCATTACAAAGAACGCAACATGGGACTATATTTCATCTGTAACCATTTTTAGCTTTCTGTAGAGGGAAAATTGAACTTACCACATACAATAATGTGATATGTCATTTCACTCTCAGTCAACTTTCATTTTCAATGTTGACCATCAGTAGAGCATAACAATTCAACTGGACTGATATTTACCAAACGCTTCAAAAATTAGGTGGATATTGACCTACCATGTGAGAATAAAAACCAAACACACTCCTGACCTTGAGCTGCTTGAACAGCTCAAGAACTTTTTACAAATTATCATCAGTGGGAATGCCATTACTAATAACAGACACATGAAGCTGAATTGACTTTTTAAGATAAGTCTCATCTGAAGAAACAGTGGGGAAAAAAAGAAGAGTTCTCAAAGTATTTTAAGGAAATTATCAATATCCAGAAATAGAAAAGCTTGCCATCATTTACCATCATATGGTTCTTCTAGGCATAGTTCTGGGTATTGTTCACAGATCTTAATTTTCAAATTGCTTACCAAGGGTATCTGTAAGTATTTTAGATGGTCTAATATTTTCCTTTTATGATAATATAAAAACTATGATGTAAAAGAAAAGCTTATGTCTTTGATGCAGTATTTCCCATGTACTTCTATTTTATGCTATATAAAATATAAATAGAAATGTCATTATGACATTTTCAAATTTGATTCTTCACAATAGACCTGAGATTTAGTTTTTGTAAACCTTGTTGCCTCTGTAACAAAACATAGGTGGAAGACAGATTGCCCAGTTCATAAAAACTATGGACAGAAGGAGTTTTGAATTCATACAAAAAAATTATGTTGAGTGTTAATGTCTTAATTTACAAATACAGGCTGCTTTCAATAATCATGCTTGCCGTCTTTTCGCAGAGTGCCCACCCCAGCTCTTCTACATAGCCAATATCTCAGCCACAGCAAAATATATAAATGGGCTACAATCTATATCTGAATGTGTTTGTTTAGAAATATCAAAGAGGATTTTTCTGTTATAACACCAAAATCATTTTCTCTAGCAAGTCACCCCAAATTGGATCAAATGTTGATGTCAGTGGGAGTTACAGGTGTCCAGCACTTCTCTCAGTTAGTCTGATTATGTAACATGCTAAAAGCCTATCAGTTGCACATCAGTCAATGAGAAACTGATAATACTTGGCAGTTTATCAGAATTTCAAAAGATCAGACCCATCAGGCTTCATCCTTTTGAGCTGTACAAGCCACTTTCACAAAGTCCAAAAAGCTTTTTGATTCAGGATTGATTCTAACAAACGTCTTTAACTCTCTAGTGACAGAATCTGGTCTTTAATCTGCCAAAGTCTTCTGCGTATCTAAAAGATTCTAAAAATAGATGGAACAAATTTGTGCGCTTGCACTTATTGACATTATGCATTTCCAGCAGACAAGCAATCATGTAAATTTACAAATTACTTCATATGTGATTGTGTTTATCCTAAAATTTTTATACTCAAAATATAACCTTATCCAGTTCTTTTTATATTACACAGACGTTTTCTGTATTTGGAAAGCTAATTGCTAGATTTATGACAGTGTAAAAGTTTATCAAGAATAGTCTCAGTAGAACAGCGTAAGTAGTGGTAGTTATTACCAATGCATGTTGGCTGAATTCCACTCCAAGTACCATCTGCTTGACAGAATCTTCTTGAAGAGCCTATCAGAATAAAAGGGGGTCTGCACTGAAAGCTAACTTCAGATCTGTAGGTAAAACTTTTTCCACTGAGGCGTCCTTCTGCTGGTGTACCAGGATCACCACAAAACACAGCTAATACATAAAAAAGTAAAGGAAAAAAAAGTTATTAAAAACTGCACGTTTCAACTGAGGTATCCTACATTGTTTTATGTGCAAGTCAGGCATACTGAATATGAGTGCAAGTGCTATGTTCATTTATCTGTGTACAATTGTAGCTCAGATAAATTCTTGACAGCAATTTAAAATTAATTGTCACTGTTATAGTTATTATAAGCATAAAACTTAACCTGGAAAAATAGACCTTTAAACTGAGACACTTAAATGCTGATTAGATTTGGATGATAAAGTAATCTCAAAGTAGACAACACTATATTGTAATGCTTCAAAATGTATCCAGTTTTCACATCAGTCACCCTCAGATGAGTAGGCTGGAAATTTTTGCCCTAATTACGTAAAAGGAAAAATGTTTGTCAGAGTCCTGACAAGATTTCAAGCACTGAAAGAGATGAGTTGAAAGATTCAGAAGAAGCTGAAAAACAAATAAAAACAAGATATGAGGATATGTACTCGCCTTCAGGAAGTAAAAAAGAATTTAGAAAGGAGAACAAGTCTATGAGCTTAAGGGTTAAGATCCTTGGTTTCACCTGTTAATGGAAATGGAAAAAGGGAAGAAAAAAGCAAAAGTGTGTAAGGGAAAATTTTAATCATGCTCAACTACAAGTCAAATTCAGAACATTCAAAAAGATTATCAGTATGGCAAGTGGTGATGGGTACAATTAGGTAATAAGAGATGGAAGTGACTTTTGGGGAAAGGAAGAAGACCATGACCTTAAATGGGCACAACCACCCAATTTCATAACAAGGTGTGCTTTTTGAAAGAAGGAGGGAGAATCCTGCAATAGTCCATATACTATCTGATCTAGCTAAATCCTTTTTAAACTGTGAGAAACTGACTGCAGCCTGAGACAACTGATTGTAGCCCAAGACAACGAATTGTAGCTTTGGTGAAGCCCAACACAACTGTACTCTGAAAACTTACGCAAACATTGTGGAATGTCTCCCCGCCAAATTCCTCGACCCTCACAGGAGAGAATAGCTGTGTTAGATAGCTGATAGCCTTCTGCACAGCTGTAGCTCACACTGGCACCCCAGCGATAATCAGATCCTTCCACTTTCCCATAGAGTACTGGTGGAGGGGGGCCACAGGCAATAGCTGTGTCACAAAAAGAGAAGTTATAATTTCAAGACTTTATAGGGTTTAGGGGAGAGCAACATAATATCTACTCATACTTTTGAAACTAAAAAAATTATTTCGTGATGTTTCAGTTCCAGCAAAGCTTTCCTGTGTTGACAAAGCAGTCTGAAATAGACAGAAAACCAATTTAAATACAATAATACCACCTCTAGGTTTAGGAAGTCCCTGAGCTCTGGGTTGCTGGAAGCCAGAAAAATACATAGCTTACCTAGTTCTGAATCTCTTCCCTACATATTCATTATGGATCATTGTTGGCAACAGGCTACTGAGCTAGGTAAAAGTTTTCAATAAACATGATTTATTTCAATAAATATGTTTCTATGATTCTATGATTCTAAATATTTGCATTTTATTTTAAACTAATTTTGCAGCACTATTTAAAGCCCTTAATATGATTTTGTTCATTCACCTGCTCATTTTCTAAGGTTTTCAGCACACAATGGACATTGACTTTATTGGTAGTTAGTGGCTAAGACTCTTTAAAAATATTCTGGTATTTTGCAGCTTCTGAAAGAGTGCCCAAAATGATGAAATCTGGGATTACCAAGTTTACATTTACACATCAGTTCTTTCAACAAAGAGCACAACCATAAAACCACTCAGTCAGTGATTTTTACAACAGAAAATGCGGTCGGTCAAATACATATGCAAAATTTAGCTAGTAGGCTAGACTTAGACATCACTTTAAGGCAGTGCTAGATGAGTTGGCAGTCTAGGTCTTTTATAAGCAGAAGATGCCCTAGGCTGTTAAATTTATTCCCTGAGCTGCTGTAGTAATGCTAACAATTTTCACCAGGCTACCTTATTTGCCTTTCAGCCTCATCCCCATTATGACCTTTATGTTAACACTTGTAATTAGCTATTTGTGAAGCATCTTTTTTGGCTATTTATGATGACTACACTACTGCAACAAGAGAATATTTTATAGAAAGTTTGGTTTGCAGGATCTCTTTGCAGAATTTTGGCCATCTAATCCAAGATAAAAGGGTCCAAAAAGGAAAATGGATACTTCATTCCTAGCATTTTAAACTGAGCACTCTGATAATCTTCATTGTGGAGTGATTTGGTGCTACTGTCATCATTAATGTCACTATTCTGACTGATATTATACCACAGCATAGCTGCAAAATAAATACAAATTTTACACAAATACTTATCTAAATGTTTTAGTTGCATTTGTATGTTACTTGTCCCAGAGAATGTTTTGACAATTTTTTGTATTTAAAGACACTGATTAGTGAATTTCACATATAGTACCAAAACAGTATTTATAAACTATTTAAGTTCAAAAGCACACCTTTGCAAATTGGTTTACTCTGGTTCCAAGTGCTGTCTTTTATACAACGCATGGTAGATGAACTGGCAGGCTCCATCAAGTACCCTGGATTGCACTGATAGCTGACTGTCTTATTAAAGGTAAAATCATTTCCAAACTGAATGCCATTTGCTAATGCACCTGGATCTCCACAGCTGATCACTAGTGAGGAAAAGAAAAAAAGGGTTTTTTTTTTTAATAAACATGTAATGAAACACTGAACTATGTGTAGCTAATGTCCTTTTTTTTAGTGTACAAAACAAGAAAAATTTTGATCAATATATTTCACACAAAATCAAAAATGTAATCTTTAATTTCTAGCTAAAAAGTCGTATTTCTGAGGCATTGCAATAGCGTGGGCCAGATATTGTGTTCCTTAAATACACTAGCTTACGTTGGTATGCTCTACTGCTACTGCAGACTGCTATGTTAGTGGCAGTTTTGATAGGACTTTTCCTTCCTTCCTACTGGGATCTTTGTCACTTTACGCCTAATGTTGATGGTGCAATGCAATTCCAGCAGAGTTATGAAATTCCTCTTTTTTTTTGTATCACTGTACTGAGGTACTGTGGGTCTGGCCTTGTCAGTGAGGTTACTGGCCCTGCTGGCCTTGCAGCACCCCTCTGCTGCCTGCTTGCTTTCCCTGATGGAGTATCCCAATCTTGCTGCTCTCTGACTCTTGGTCCTTAGCAGAATGGTTATCAGTCAGATGTGACTCCTTTGGCTCACAATAAAAACTAGAACAGTAATGTACCCAATTAGGTAAAATCTCATTTAGAACTACCAGAACTTAATCCTCTGTACGTAAGCCACAAAAAAAAAAAAAAAAAAAAAGCTAAAGGAAACTCTAGAGGAGCACCTATTCTTAGGAATACTGTTATATTTTCAATGTTGACATTCATGAGATAAACAAATACAGAAAAGTTACTTATGTATCCATCTTAAAAAGATAGTTCTGGAAACATCTAGCATGTATTAAAAGGGCATGTACCTTTAGGTATATAAAATACTAATGTATTACAAGACAGATGAATGGGGAAAAAAAGTTATTTTATCTAACAAAATAATCATTTTCAGTAGGAAGGCTGGATGACTTACAACTTTAAAGCTTTAGAGGAAGAAAGTTTATTTCTGACCTGTGCAGTCTGGAGCAGTGCCAGTCCATGTCCCATTAGCAGTACAATGTCTAGTAGTTAGTCCTGAAGTTTTGTAACCTTCCCAGCAGGCATAAATGACTGAGCTGGAGAATAATATTCCATCACTGTATATTATCATACCATTGGCTGGGGTGCCAGGATTCCCACAAGATACAGCTGTGAAGAAAAGGGTAAAAAACCATCAATAATTCCATGATAGGAGACTAACTGAAAAAAAAAAAAAGTGGGTCAATAGCCCATCTTTTAAAAAAGCTATAACAAGTTTTACTAAGAAAATGTTTAATAGGTATATTCTTGAATTAATATCTTATTTCTCCTTGTTAATATGATTACTTGCATTTATTTTGTTTTGTTTTTGATTCAGATAGTTTGCACTGTTGTAAATGTTCCACTTCAACCAATACAGTCATTGGAGAGAAGTAGGCTCATTCAGGACTTTCTGACAGAACTGTGCCTCTGTTTTGTCTTTGGGCACATTTTTCTATTCTCTTCCTGTGTTCTGGTATCTCCTCTTTCAATTGTAAAAATGCAAAAATAGTAAATTATGATCTTCCTGTCCATTTCTTTTTTGAATCAAGAAAATAACAGGAATACTGTATTGGCCTCCATATCTGTTTGGCATCTGTAGCTACACATTAAGGCAAGGATTATGTTTCAGCTTCATACATCTAAGATTCAACAGTGGTTTAGTTTGATTGTATGTTGGTTTTTTGGGAGGGTTTAGTAGGGTGGTTTTTTTCCAACGGACCAGCCAATCATGAGCAGGATTTGTTTGTTTGTTTTGAATTTTTCTAACAACTTTCTTCTAAAGCATCTTTATTTGACCACCCCAGCAGACAGGACACTAGCAAAAGTATGATAAAATTCCACTGTTGGACAGAGACTACTCCTCTTCATAGGAATAAAATAAAACTATCATGAGGTTAAGAGACTAGCAGGGTTAATCAAGAGTTAGGAAGAAATGTACATCTAAATCAAACTCTTTCCTTTAATCTTCCATGGAGCATGAAGTGATTTGTAAGATGGGGAGGACATACTTCAATTGTCTCTTGCAGAGCTTTCAAGAGCTGGCAACTCTTTTTACTCTTCCTACAGCATAGATAAGTGTGGTCTCTTGAGAAGTGAAATGATTTAGTCTAATACAATGATATGATCAAATATAAGTATGATAAAACTTAATGGCTTGGAATATTGTGGTGGATTAGCTTTGGCTAACAGCCAAATGCCCACCCAGCTGCTCACTCACTGCCCCTCCTCAGTGGGAAGGATGACAAAGCTCATGTATCGAGACAAAGACAGGGGAATTGCTTACCAATTACCATTGTGGGCAAAACAGACTCAATTTGGGGACAATTCCTTTAATTCATTGCCAATTAAAATAGATTTGGATAACGACAAAAAGACAAATATTAAACCAACACTTTTCCTCCTCTCTTTCCCAGGTTTAACTTCATTCCTTCACTTCAGGCTCCTCTACCTGCCCCATGAGTGGTGCAGAGGGGACAGAGGATGGGGAGTTACGGTCACTACACAGCAGTTTGTCTCTGTCGCTCTTTCCTCCTTAGAGAACTGGAGGAATTCCGGTCATAAACATACCCTGAGCGGCATAAAAAGAAGCATGGTCAGCAGGTCAAGGGAGGTGATTCTCTCCCTCTACTGCACTCTCATGAGACACCATCTGGAGTACTGCATCCAGTTCTGGGGCCCCCAGGCATGGACCTGTTAGAGTGGGTCCAGAGGAGGGCCACAAAAATGATCAGAGGGCTAGAGCACCTCTCCTCTGAAGAAAGGCTGAGAGAGTTGGGGTTGCTCAGCCTGGACAAAATAAGGCTCCAGGGAGACCTTACTATGGTCTTTCAATATACAAAAGGGGACTTATAAAAAAAAACAGAGAAAGGTTTTTAAGTAAGGCCTATAGTGACAGAACAAGGGACAAGGGTTTTAAACTGAAAGAGGGTAGATTTAGATTGGACATAAGGAAGAACTTTTTTATGATGAGGGTGGTGAGACACTGGAACAGGTTGCCCAATCAAGTTGTGGATGTCCCATCCCTGGAAGTGTTCAAGGTCAGGATGGGTGCAGCTTTAAGCAACCTAGTCTACTGGAGGATGTCCCTGTGTATGGCAGGGAGGTGGAACTAGATTATCTTTAAAGGTCCCTTCCAACCCAAACCATTCTATGATGCTATGATAATACTAACAAAACAAATTAAAGGCCATGTGCAGATACTGGTCAAGGTGCAACACTGAGCTGCATTAGGAAAGGAAAGCTTAGATGCATTCATTAAGGCTAAATGTATTTATGGAATTTATGCAAAGACAACAAGTCTGCAGACGCTTAACATTTGATAAAATGATAATTTGACAGTAGTTGAGCATAAAATAATCCTTACACTACTTATAACACTTATTTTACTTATTGCATTTCCTCATATTTGCATAATTCAATTTATCACATTCTGAGAGCAATGATCAAAGAATCAAAGAATGGCTGAGATTGGAAGGGACCCCTGGAGGTAATCTGGTCAAGCAGGGCCACCGAGAGCCAGTTGCCTAGGACCATATCCAGACAGCTTTTGACTATCTCCAGGGATGGAGACTCCACCACCTCTCTGGGCAACCTGTTCCAGTGCTCAGTCAGCCTCACAGGAAAAGAAGTGTTCCTGACGTTCAGACAGACTTCCTGTGTTTCAGTTTGTGCCCATTGCCTCTTGTCCTGTCACTCGCACCACTGAAAATAGTCTGGCTCCATCTTCTGTGCACCCTGCCTTCAGATATTTATATATGTTGATAAAATCCCCCTACCTTCCTTAGTCTGGACAGTCCCGACTCTTTCAGCATTTCCTCAGAGGAGGGATGCTTTAGTCTTTTCATCATCTTAAGGGCCCTTTGCTGGACTCTGTCCAGTAAGTCCATGTCTCTCTAGTACTGAGGGCCCCAGAACTGGACCCAGCACTCAAGATGCTGCCTCACCAGTGCTGAGCAGAGGGGAAGGATCACTTCTTTTCTAAGGCAGCCTGGGATACCATTAACCTTCTTTGCAGCAAGGGCACGTTGCTGATTATGTTCAACTTGTTGTCACTAGGACCCCCAGCTGGAAGGCCCCCAGCATAATAGTTAGAATCTAATAGTTATAATCTAATAGTTATAGATCATAGGATTCATTAAAATAAATGCAATTTGCCAATTAAAAATGACTCTGAGTATTACTGATGTTTGGAATAATACCTAAATGTCTTTGTTTTAATGAAGTCTTATTCACTTTTTATGTATAAAAGTTTCAAATACTTTTGAAAAATTCAGTAGGTTGGAACTTGAACTTGTAGGGGTGAAAAGGTATTCTCTTCCTAATCTTATCCTTATTTGTACTAAAGATGAAACAATTGAAAGAGAAGAGAAAAATAGAAAGAAAGGGGCTTTTTTCTTTGTTTGTGGGTTTTTCCTTTTTTCTGAAAACAGAAAGTTGAAGCAAAAAGATAAAGAAAGAAAAAACAGCATTTCAAACATCGCTGATTGTGGCTGAGTGCTGACATCCTACTATACTTAATGTCTCCATGCAAGGGAAGAAGAAAGGACATTGCAAAACTTCAATTTTCTGCTGGAAATACAGATCCTGTGCCCACTGCCATTTTCATACAGTTATGGTGATATCTACACTGACAGAGGATTAGTCTGTGCTGAGAATACTACAAAAGAACAATTGCTAGATGAGGATACTGTGATAAAATCCCTAGGTGAAAAAATATAATGAATTTGTTAAAAATATTTTGTCCTATCTTCCATTTTATCATTTAGTATAGCAGACAACAGATACTACAGAATCCATCAGCTCCAATGAATTAGATAAAGTAACTTTTCACACATTCTTGGAAAACAAGAAGACATTTTAAAACTGAATCTGAAGTCTTCCATTACTACACATAAAAAGTGTAAAAATTCTTTATTATATTTTTTATCTTATTCTTAAATGTGATTTCCAGAAATACGACGTGACATTTCTTCTGAAAGAGCTAGCATAAAAAAAGTATATCTCATAAAAAATTAGTCTAACTTATGCGCAGAAATAGACATTAATTTATACTTAGTTAAGAATACAACATTATTTTATCATCTGTTCTTGATGTGTAGAGATTACATAGAAATAGAAGATTAAAATATTGTATTGTTAGAAGACTGGTGACGGATTTATTTATCACTCTGTTTTCATATCTTCAATCAGAAGCACTTGTTTAATTTTACATTTAACTCGGGTATCTATTCTCTATTTTCAGGCTCAGTATTTGTTTAACTAGAATTATTTTCTCACAATCTTCTTATGAATATATACTCCAAAACTTTATCAGTTTGGATTTAGGTTTTCAAGCAAAACATGAGCTGCTTGCAAACTCTTTTATATCAAATTTCTGCAAAGCAATATGAAAGCATATTTCTGGCATAGAATTTCTTTTTAATTAAAGAATAAAATGTCATTAGTAAATGTCATTCAATGGTGTCATAAACGCCAATGGTATCAATACCTACCTTCACACACAGGCTGTATACCTGACCAGGAACCATTAAGCAGGCATGTTCGTTCTGCAGATCCTCTCAGCTGATAACCCATTTCACATGAGAAACGTAGCAGACTTTTTATTTTGAACTCATCCCCTAGTCTAGACCCATGAGCTGGTACTCCTGGATCATCACAATAACCAGGATTATTTCCTGTAAAACACAACAGAGCAGAATTATTGGCAGAGACGTTATCTGCAAATGTAGTGGTAGTGAAGATACTCTCTTGTGAATAGTACTACTAACTGCATTGTTTCTAGTATAAATAGTCACTTTTCTTCCAGTGTGAGGACTTGAAACCAAAGCCAAAGATGAAAACAACATGTCTTTTTAGCCTACTTCTTATCTCAGACCTATACAGACCTAAACATAGAATGTGATATAAATAAAACATAAAAGATAATTATGAACATAGGAAGCACCCCTGTCATATTTTATCAGTTCAACAAATTCGTTGTCTTTTTGACATAAATAACATTTTCTACACATCGTATTTTATTGTTCAACTTCTCTGTTAGTAATAACTTCTAATAACAAAAATTAGATAGCAGCAAGAGTGAAGAGAACCATATTCAAGTTTCTTAAGAAATATATTTGAAATACATATATCCACAGAAAAGACTAAATGGTACCTGGCCTTCTGTGCCTGTCAAGAATGGAAAGGACACCTCATCATTTTCCTTATCCTTTAAATTCCTATGTAAGTATTGGTTACAATTTTAGAAGAGAAATAAGGTGCTGCAAACCGGACCTCTCAAACATGTCCTCATAGGTCTGATGAACCAGCCAACTGCCTTATAAGATAAAGTGGCTGCTACAGGAAATGCTACCCAAGACAGTCAAGGAAGTATGGTCTCAGTATCAAAAATTTATTATAAATCTTGACATAAAATTGTATCATCTCTCCTAAATCCCTCTGTGCCTAAATTGTGGTTCATAGCAACATTATCCTTTGTTCACCATTTTTTAGTTATACGTCTAAACAGAATTTCTATTAAAACGATGGTTTTGGGGTTTTTTCAAAATATGCGTGAATAATTCCATAGGTTGAAGTCTGTATCTCTTCACATAGGTTTTTCATAATAGGCACCCTGTCAGATGAAGGACAAAATCTTGAACAAAGGAATAACAATAGCAAAACTTTGAGAAAACTCAAACTTTTATTTTAGAAATGAAAATTTTCTAAAGTCAGAAAGTATGATTATGTGTGCGGTGTAAGGTTTTCAGTATAGCAAGTTTGAGACAGACACGTTGGTTACAATAATCCTTCCTCATAAAAGGAAACCAAGACACAGTTCTTGAATTCAAGGCTAACTTGTGGGCTTTGGTTGTGTCCACTTTGCTTAGTACTAGCTTCTTCTAGAATAGATTGTCCTCATCACCCTGCCCTATTTGGACCTATGTTTCCTTGTCTAAATACATGCTTGTAAACAGTGTGAGTGTCTTGAAGCCAGCTGGTATATTCTGTCCACATCTATACTGTTAAACTCACTCTCCAAAACAGGGTGGCTGAACCTAAAGTGGCTGTTGAGAATGATCTCCAGCACACCACCAACTTGCAAAGTATGTGCATTGTTTGATGGAGTGCTAGTTGGGATGGGTGAAAACCATTCTGGGAACAATTCTAAGAGCATAATGGTCTAGGTGATCAAGTACTAGCATCCATGACCTATTCCCTGGCACTGTTCAAGCAGCAGTCCAGATGTGGCCTCTGGATGCTATCAGCTTCCCCTTACTTCAAGACATTACTATTTCACAGACAATTTTGTCTAAAGTGTGTGAAATAACATGAGGGCTGTGATTCAGGCTACCGCTGTGCCATGTTTTCAGCATGAAACAGATATGTGGCACATAATTTGGCTTGTGAATGCAAAGACTGCAGGAATTGTTCAGGGCAGAAGGATCTATGATTCTAAAATTCTGATGATGTCCCACTTTGCTTTGGGACTTTGCTGAGGGAATTTTTCCAGATGAATGACCAGATTTGTTTTCTTGGACACACCTAGTTTTGTCTTTGAGAAAGTTTAAACTGGAGCCATGCAAGTATATAGTCAAAGGGTATAGACAAAGGCACTTATAGTATTTTGAAGGTCTAGACCCTTTTTTATTTAGCAATGTAGATGACTACATATCCATTACTGAAAAATAAGTGTAAGTCATCTTAAACAAAAATTTCAACTATCACTTAGCTCATAAGATAAAAGTGTCCATCATTGCAACAGGACCCAGGTGACAACAAACCCTGAGATTATATTTATACCATCACACATTCAAACATATATTAATATATAATAAAGAAATAAATCCCATGCAGAAACAGACTACAGGTTACAAGTGTTATATTGGGACTGTTTTTCATATCTTAAGTATAAAACAAACTAGCTGTCTCAGTTGTCCTGGGCACAATCATTCTTTCACTGACGTTATGAATACAAATTATTCATATTGTTTCTTTAATGGAGTAATCTCCTGAATACCTAACATGGAAAGTGTAGTTATTTTTATAATTCTAAATGCCTTAGAGTAATGGGACACCTTTTTAGGGTTTTTTGGCTGTTTGTTTGGGAGTTTTTGTTCGTTTTTTAAATTGAGTTAAGAGAGAGACTTCTCATTTTCCTAGGGAATCACTTTGCTCTCAAGATCATGTCACATCATGTTCAAACTTAGAAAATTAAATTCTGCATCAGTAACAATGTTTTAGTTACACTAGACATATTTTCCCCATCATAGGACATGACTGCAGTGATCTTTAATGTTTTGAAAATCTATGACTCTATAAAAATACTATCATATTCATGACTGATATCTGAAAAGTCTCAATTATTAGCGATTAAAATTTCTTTCCACCAGCATGAGTGGTGGAAATTCCACAGATTTCCCTTGTAGTAGGAAATGTTGGACAACAGCACTAGAGGGCTCTGACCTTAAAAATAAACTTTAATGTCTCGGTGCAATTTCAGATCTGGGATTTTATAGTGGATAAAAAGGTGAAATTGACATAAATGTGGGCTTAAGATAAGCAAGAAAAGGCCAGTTGTGTGTGGAAACTATCCATATGATTGTCCTGCAGAGGTTCCTTTCAGGTCTAGGCATAGAGACCATGATGGCAGTGAGATCTAGCAGTGTGAGAAGACTCTAAGTAAACTCTTTCCTCCTTAAGCAGCAGAGAACAGAAAAGAAACATTAGTGATTTAAATTCACTTCCTTTCCTCAGTGTTTCAAATTCTGCTCAGCATCCTTGCAGAATCAGCTTATGAATGGACCATTTTCAATGAACACTTATTTAGAGCTTTTTCAAAGTACAGAATTTTAAAAATTTATACCTATTTAAATTAGGTCAAACCTGAATTGAACCACATTGAATCAGTCAGCCCAACAGTAGGCATGTCCAAGAGCTTAGGGGAAGTTATAAGAAGATTCCACAATGTGTAATGATGGAACAATTTTCTCATTAGGAAATTTTCTTCTGAAACCTGTCACTATTTGTTTTCTTGTATACCAAAGTGTGTAGACTTGTTTCCCTTACAAAACTTGTTAATACACTGTGGGTGTCCTTAGCAGTCAAACCTCATCTGAGCTCTTGACTTCAACAAAACTGTGTAATGTTTTATGGCTTCCTCTAAATTTGCATATTTATTCTAGGGAAGAATAAACTGTTCCTGTGCTTCCTGAAAGCACCAAGAACATTGCAGAAGTTTATGCTATTTGCACAATGTGGCACTAATAAAGAATATTTCTGTAAGTGAAAAGAAGAACATAATGTACGAAGTTTACCATCTCATACCTTTGCTGTGGTGTTTTTTAATCAACATTTTCCTATGTGACAACCTTTGTTTACACAAAACAGTGTTCATAAAAATTAAATTTAATACATGCATCCTTTTTAAGCAGAATTCTACCAGGTTTTAAATAGTGTTTTGTGGCTTCTATATACTGCAGTATACAACTAGAGCATCTAGCTAAGGAGTAAAGTTATGAAGTAATGACAAAGAGAATGAGACAATATATGAGAATATTTCAATAAATGGCTATAATTCAGCTGAATGGCTATTGGTGAAATTAAAATATACTTGGAAAAGAAACAAAACAAATATCTAACTGTAGTTAAAAATTGCTTCAGAATGCCCTTATTCATGTAATTACAAGGTGACATTCAGGTGATGGTTGGTACATGTACCTGAACAGTGAGGGAGAGTCCCACTCCAGTGGCTATCTTCTTGGCACTCCCTAGTAGAATTTCCTATCAGCCTTCGACCCACTGTGCAAGAATAATGAATTATGGAGCCATATGTAAATTTGTCTCCTGAAAGAACTGCATTGGCAGGTACTCCAGGATGTCCACAAGAAATGGCTAACAGAGGAAAGAGCACAATATTATAAGATGTTTTCATGGCACAGAAAGAACTTCTTACAACCTTTACATATGAGGCTGGTTCCACACAACATAAACTTCTGTCTGGATTTCAACTCCTTCATATCTTCAGTTTTGCTGTTGCTATAGATGATTTACTGGTCATTTATAAACATAAAACTACATGTAAAACTAACCCATGCAGTTTAGCCTTTCCCTGAAAATATAGAGAGCTCTCTTTCCTCATTTCTGTTCACTGTTCTTCCCTACAAATAACACACATTATTTCTGTTAAGGTTGGGAAAGAAGAAACAAAATAAGTTTAATGTTGCAATGTGCTTATATATTACAGATATGATAATGATAAGTAGCTTTATCATATCTATAAAATAACTAGACACAGTTTAGGCAGTATAGAGAAATAAAAATACTTCATCTAAAGTATTATTATAGCAATGTGTTGCACTAAAGTGAGCTGCACACCTGCAAACACAATACCTGCTAGTTACCTAACTCGTAAGCAACAAGTCTTCATTGTTTAGAATTAAAGAAGCGAGCAGTATGGAATAAGAGGTACTGTAACAGACTGTACCTACTGCATCAAGAGTACTGTTCAGCCAGATCAGTAAGGATACTGAAAGCACAGATTGTTGTGAAAATCAGAACAAAATTGCTTGGGTCATGTGGATATTAGATATATAGTAGTAGGAAGAAAGCAAGCATAAAAAAGAAACAAATTCACTAACCTAGTTACATTTATTGATCTGATTGGTATGTAAGTATAAATTCATAAAATAAATCA